CCCCAAAACCCCAAAACCCCAAAACCCCACAAGATAATCAAGGACTTAATTTTATGAAAATAATGAAAATAAATAAAAAATACACCAACTAAAGCATTAAAGAATATCATTTTCTCATCTTTGATTCCTATTGCCGCCCAAAGATTCAGAGATAATAGTTCTTACTTCTTGATCCACAAGTTTAGTTATCTATGGCTAATAGATCTTCCTCATAAAGCTTAATATAAGATTCTTTACCACTTTCTTGGAATCTTAAAACACCCACTAATCAAATAAATAAATATAATGTACATAGGGTTTTTGAGCTCAACTATTTAACTAATTAGTTAATTGCTTCAAGATTATGATCATTTATGGTTTCATAGTAGTAAATAAGCATCTTAAGAACTTATTTGTATTTCTATAGCAAAATTTACCAAAATTATATATCTTACCTTGTTATTCACCATTAGTTTGTCTTAATACGATAAAGCTAACACCTCTAAAACTAGTCTGTAGATTATATTTTCTTTGGGATGTCTATTTTGCAAACCAATCTTGAGTTGCTTGATAGAAGGAATCACACTTAGAAGCACCTCTAAATTGTCCCTTGATTTCTTAACAGTAGAAGCTTTTTAAAGATTGGTCTCATAGTAATCTAAAACTGGCTTTAAAAACATTATTGAGCTCAAGTCTAAAGTTTTAAAAATGCCTAATTTCTGGATTCTTTAAAATATCAGAACTCCTAAAGGCCCAAGCTACTTGTTAATCTCATCTATAGTTAATAATTATCAGCAGCTACTAATTACTAGCAATATCAGAATTTTATTCCTCTATTTCTATCCACTCCTTAGGTAAAGTGATATCTAGTTGAATTCTGTCAGAGTATTCATTATTTGGCTCTTCCTCTTCAGATTTTTCTTCATCATCATCTTCATTATCTTGCACTAATTATATCAATAGGTTAATTAGCAAATAAATACTTCTGCTCCTTCTAAGGTATACCACTATAAGATGATTATCAGAATGAATATATTTATAATTAGATCTTACTTTGCTAAGTTTCTCGTTGCCTTTGATATTATCTTAGCATTCTAGCCATATCTATTGTTGTGAGATCTTCATTTTCTTCATTATTTTAGGATTCAGAATTACGATTCTATCTCAATTACAAAGTTCTTAAGATTGAAGCTAAAGCAGGCCCAGTATTCATTATACTAGATTGATTACGAATGCTAATAAAGCTCAAAGATTTAATTATAATGCCATTAGATTTAATTAATCTGTACTAATAATTTAATTTATTTAGGGATCAAATTATATTAGTTGCAGCAATTGCTAATCAGAAAGGACCTTTTGTATGTTTAAAATTTGATATACAGGAATATTATGCTTTTGCTTGAGTAGCTAAAAGTGTATTCATAATTATGGCATTTTAGTTATTAAAATTTAAATCACTTTAAAATATTCACAAACTCTTTATCACTCTTGGCAATTGTAGCTTTAATGATGAGTCTTTGGATTACTTCTTTATTTGCTGGCATAAATCTTAAAATTGGCATATCAGCAGTAACTTCCTCTAGGTCGCCATAAGATATCCATCCTTAAGCTCTTTACAACGGAGTAAGGACTGGTTTCGGTGGCTCAACTGGTACCTCTTGCTTTCCTTTCTTCGCTGGAGCCTTAACTTTTTTATCATCTTTTTAAGGAGGTGGTTGTGGAGCTTCAGGAGGTTCCTCATCTGGGAGGAAAATATTAGCAAATAGCAGTTTTTCAATTGCTTCTTTCTGAATCCTTTTCTTGTTAATCTTTTCTTGTTCTCTTTCTCTCTAAAAATAGTTAATTTATCTATATTTACAATTTAGTCTGTAACTGTATTAAATTTGAAATCTAGTCTCCATTCTAAAAATCTTTACTAGAATCTAAGTTTGCATCTTTTCATATAGCATTTAATTATTGCATCTCTAATACTTGGTTCAATTAGATTGATTTTCTTCCATATTTCTTGCTTCTTTTTATTTTTCTTAGTCATGCATATTTTTAGTAAACTGCTCTTTTCTTTTTCCCACAAAACCTTTGTGAAATGACTTATTCTTAACTCTTAAGCATTTTTGAATCTTTGATAATGAACTTATACAACCTTGACTCTATTATAGAAAGCATATAGTTTCTATTTAAGATCATAGATTTCAGAAGTTTCTGTTAGGAAATGATTCATTATTTTATTTGATTGATGATTTTTGCTGTCAAACATTCCTTATCCCATAAAGGATAAAACACTATGAATTAAATCACAAAATCAATTGAAGCTTACTTTACTATGGATTATTGACTCCTGAGTTCTGCAGTTGGTCTTTTCTTTTAGCTCCATAACTTGAATTTTATTGCGAACATATTAACTGCGAATTATATCTAAGCCTCACGAGTAGCCACTTCTCTTTTTTAATAGAAAACTGTGTAAATGTGCTTCATCATCTAGCAAGTGATAATGTATCTTACCCAATCATATTTTCTGTTATTTTCTAACCTACTTTTAATAGCTATTTTCTTCATTTCTGCTCTTTTTTCTTTTAAGAACTCCCACCTGTGAAGCAGGAACATATTCTTCTTTCGTTATTCTAATTCCATCATATTCTTTTTGGATTTAGCGGTCTCTATTCTTTACCAAGTAGTCCTGATCTTAAAAAGCTTTTAGTTTTGCAAATCCTCAGGATCATGTTATACTTATTCCATATTCTTAGAAATGAAATCAACTTTAGACTACTTATCTCTATTTTTTCTCATTATTTTTTCAAACATATCATTTTCTTTTTATTTTCATTTTAATTTTTCCAAGTCATCTTCTTCATCTGCTGAATCTCCCTTATTTTTATTTTTATCTGCAATTTTACTACTATCCCCAAAATTTACTGTTAAAGTTATTGAACATCCTGTCAAAGAAAAAAAGCTTATGTATATGAAATCTGTGTTAAAGTCATTTTTATCAGTTGATCCAATTGTAAATCTGGTAGGCTAAATATAAAATTAGGATACCATTAAGTATCTTACATTTGTAAACTACTTAGCACAGTTATTCTCCTTAGGTTCTTTTGCTGTGGTTGAACAATAAACTTTAAGATCAGATCTTAATGATCCTACTGGTTGCTCTCTGTAAATGCAAGATAACTTAGCAGGAGAAGGTTAGCCTCTCACCTATACTTTAAAAGTCATATAGGCTTCTTAAATAACTTCAATCTCAAAAGGCTTCCTTGATATAATCACATTGCCATTGTCATCATGCCTAGATTAGACTATATTCATCAGCTCATAATTCAAACATTTTATTTCTCTATTCGCTTTGAGAAGTATATTTTTACAATCAATTCTATCTAATTTGGCCTAAGAGGATTTTCGTCTAAAAATAATTATAAGGAAAGATAAGTTACTCAATATTCTTCTCAAGTGTTGTAATTGTATCCAGAGCCTTATCTACTTCCTAATTTTCCTATTTTGTCCAAATGCTTATTGTTGATTTCATCATCAAATTCTTCTTAGCAGTTGCAAGTTTTATATCAATAGGAATGTCACTTTGAGATAAATATTCATAACTTTATGGATGTCCATGTGCATGTCCATGTCCATGCCCATGATGATGATGTTTTCCATTTTGTTATGAATAAAATGCTGTGTTTGGCCTCACTCCGTGAAAACTTCCGATAATTGAGCCATACTAACTTTAATGATTAATATTTAGCCCATTATTGCCAGTCATTGGCCTTGAATGCATATTCTTTGATGAATTACTTGTTAATAACCTATTATTATCTTGAGTATTCTTAGTCAATCCATCCTTTTAACTAATTAAATCTAAAGTCGATTTAGTTCCTCTTTATTTTCTTAATCTGCTAACTTTTCTTTTTGAGTTAGGTGATTCCAAAGAGCTTATTGGTCTGGTATGAGGGGAACCTTAATTTGTAAAGGCTCTTGTAGATTCAGGAATACTGATTACTTGTTTCATGGAATTCTTGCCTGTCATAAAGTTATTATTGAAAACAGGATTTGTAGAATGAATGCCACCGATCACAGGAACTCCACTTCTAACTTTATTGTGATGAGCTGATTAAGGAGCTGCTCTCTTCTTCTTTACACTTCCTAATCGATCTTAATTCATTGACCTTGTATCTGGTGATTATGATTTATTGTCCATGGTAAAATGCTTTTAAGACGAGAGCGGCAAGTCTGACTTTTAGACCTTTGAATGATTTCTTGAATGAGTTTTCTGCATTTTGAAATAATAACAATATATGATTTATTTGAACTAATTTATATTTGCACTTAAAACTATCTAAATGGCTGGGGTTTTGGGGTTTTGGGGAGATCGGAAGAGCGTCGTGTAGGG